AAAAAAAAAAAAAAAAAAAATCCCACCTCTTTATATTTGTCAGTTTAGGATTTAGGAACTTACTTTTCTCAATAGACAAAAAAGTGGAATTTGAATCATGTCCGGATTCTTCTGGTATTTCGTTTCATCAGCTTCACACAGGCATCTGGATCTAAGCTGAAGCTCCTCCTCCCCGCCGGACGACTGCATAACGGAGGAGCTGCATTCCCTAGGGGCCCCACTCCCTCCCCTGGCTCCTGCCCCAGACCCAGGACGCAGAGACAGCAGTGGCGAGGCCAGAGTCCTGTGGCACAGGCCCGGGAGGCTGTAGGAGGCTCTCCCTTCAGCACCCCTCACCCCTCCACCGTGCACCTCGAGGAGGCAGGAGGCTGCGTCGAGCCCCAGTCGTAGAGGAAACACTAACTTTGAAGCATTTCTCCTGTGAAGTCTTTCAGAAGAGCAAGAGGAAATGATGAGTAAAAGCAGTGGAAGAATAAAAACGTGAACAGAAAATTGGAAATGGCTGTCACTTTTAGCAACAAAGGAGAGATCAGAGGGAAGTGGGATTCCCGTGGGTCCCAAGGGAGTTTCAGACACTTTCCTAGACGTGGCAGTGACCCATGGCTTTCTGTTCAGTCCCTGGCTTGTCATCCTCGCTAGTGTAAGGCTCTCCTGTGCCGAGACACAGATTTCCGCGTGGGGACATGGAGTACTAGAAACCAGGGAGGCCTGCTCTGTTACCCGGAACTCAGGCAGGATCTTCCCTGGACAGAGGAGTCCTGGTTGTCCACTTGCAGAGCCACAGGGGAAGGAGGTGCCACGCTGTTCTCACTGGGCCATCCTGTCCGCAAAGCCTTACAGACCCAAGGAGCTTCTAGAGCTGCCACTTACCTGAGCACTGAGCGGCTTCTACAAAGCTTTATCAGGAGAGTGCAGCCTAGAACCAAGAGGGAGAGCACAGTTGCCCACTGAAATTTAAGACTTGTGTATAGATGAACTACCCAAAAACTACAATGAGGGTTCTAGGACTCCAGTTACCAGCTGGACAGTAAGACACAGAATTGCTTTTGTAGCCTCTAAATTAAGGAAAAGGCACATTTATGGGTCACTGGCTATGTTTTACGTACTATGTAAAGCCCACTGTGATTCCTTAAGTCTCCGTGTCCCCGTGTGGCGAGTACTGTAATCTTCCTCGGGGACTGATGAGGACATTGGGGCGTCAAATGGGAACCAAAGCTTGAACCAAGGCCTCTGGGAGACTTAGCTGTGCACGTCCGACACAGAAGCTCTAAATGAGGCTGAACACGAAAACAGTGGCACTCATCTCTGCTCCGCTTACCTTTACGAGGATCATCCTCATCCTTTTAATAAATATTTACTTAAATGGAGGCACTTTCTAGATAATCGGTCAATTTCGGTGCCTTGGAGAGAGATGAGAGGTTATGAAAGGTGGCGTTCGTACCTGAGAGAGGCAATGGTACTGAGGTTTACAAAGGAGCAGGTGGGGCAGCTGGAGGTGCTCCCTCACTGGCTCTAGTCGGGGAGCAGTGTGCGGAGTCCCAGCTCCTGTGGCTGAGGCAGAGGCTGTACAGAGGGGGAAACTGCTGCAAGATGAGGCTGGAAAAGGGGAAAGGCCTTGTCGTGAAAGACCTAGGAGTTGCCTTTCACAACAGTGGGCAGCTACTGTGGCTTTGGAAGCAGAAAAATACAAGTTTCCAGGTTGCTCTGACGGCGCTGTGAAAGGAGCTTTGCACAGTGGACAGGCTGACAAACCAGAGGGGAGCTTGCATGGCGTCCACAGACTAGAGCACAGGCTTCTGCCCCAGAGCAGGCCCAGTGAGCACCTAAGGTCCACTGTGAGGAGGGAAAGGGAAGTTTCAAGTTTGGCCAACAAGTTGCACGGCTGCATCATTCCCTGGGGCGAGGGCTTTCTTTATCACGTGAAATATGTCTGTGAAAGCACTTGGTAAGTCCAGTGTACAGTGTTAACGCGAGCTCCCGTGACTTCGGTGGGGCAGCAAGACTGGCTTGAAGAAAATCTTATCAGCTGGGGAGTAGACACAAGAGTAAGAGTCACGGTGATGAACTGCAGGAGATGGCGTTGGGTGCCGACCACTGTTGCTGGGAATGACACACGTGCAGAACTCACTCAGTCCTCACAGGACCACATTTTACAGATGAAACCGAGACATAAAAGGTCGCCTATGGTCACAGCCGGTAACGGTGCAGCTGAGGATTGAACTGCTGCTGTCTCACTCCGAAATCTGGGCTCCTCACTCATCTCTCTGCATGACAGACTAACATCGGTCCCAAGAAAAGCACGGATACAGCAATGCGTGTAAGAGGACAGAGAGGGGAAGTTAGATGACAAAATTGAGAGTCTAGGAGTGAGAAGTAGCATTGTGCTCTCCGGGAAGCCACCTGCCTTCAAGCAGATCCATGCTAAATCCCAAGGCCTGTGGGGGACCAGCCCCCACTAGTCGAACAGTATCTGAAGGAGAGAGTGAGGATTGAAAAGGAAAGATATTCTAGGCAGAGTGGAGACAAAAGACTGTTTGTTTTAATTGAGGCAAACCTGGTTTTTTATATATATATTATTAGCACATTATCTTGTGTAGATACACAAGAAACATCTGCAGAAAGATATCACAAGAAAATGTTTAGACACCATAATATTTTATGATTCTTAAGGTCAAAAGGTATTCACATGTACTTTGGGCTGGAATGTGGTTTTATTAAGTTGATAGATTAGCTCCTTGTTAACCACTTTTAGTTTTCTGCATACTGTTGTTAGGTGAGAGTTTTAGTTTCCCCACAAAGGCCCAACTCCAGACAGACCCGGCAGTCAGACTGGAGTTGTCTGACTCCGGAGTCTATAGGAGTGTAATGCACCAGATTTGTCACCAGAGGGCACCCATGCCACCCTTCTGATCCTTGTTTCCTCTCCTTGTTTCCTCTCCTTGTTTGCGAGGAGTTTGCCTTGGGTGCTTTGGGAAGTTCAGGAACATCAGTTTTCACAATCAAGGTTTTGATATTCTGATGCCAGCGCATTCTTCATTAGTAATATATCCATCACTGTGTTTAAAAATTCAGAATATTTCCATTATCCACAGAGGGTTTTTTCTTTGTAATTTGCTCCCTGATCCTTATGACAAATTACCTGATTTATCTAGCAGTCACTGTCCTAGGTAACCTAGCTTTGGCAACTCAGTGCTTTTAGGAGGCTGATGTTAGAGAACTGCCCATCTGCCTCCTGCTTCGAAGTCGTCTCTTCGAAGACCGTAATGGTGCATCCAAGTCGACCTCATGCCCTGTTCACGTTTAGTCACTAATTCATACAGCGCTGGCAACGCCCGACCTCGGCACTCCGTCTGTGGGAGCGTTTGCTTGTGTTATTAACTTTGATCAGACGCTTACACTCCCGGGGCCCGAGGGTCGTGGAGACCTGCGCGACCCCGGGTTCATTGCCTCGTCCCCCACCTGATCCCGGCCACTGAAGAGCAATGTGAATTCCACACCAGGCGTGTGAGCGAATGGCGAGGCTGCTCCCTCGCCCCAGAGCCTGTCTGAAGGACGCGTAGCCTGGGAAGGGGCAGCAGAGTGACGTTTGGTGCCATTGTTGTTGTTTTTTTTAATATTTTTTTCTGTCTCCTCCACTTGGTTTTGATTTTGAGGAGCCTAGATTCTGTATGATGTGACCCTTGCCCTGCCTTTGTAACGGAGGAAGCACAGTGGTCAAAAGTACAGATTTGGGGAACAAAACAGCCTCGATGCTTTCACACAGAAGCTACGTGGGTGCTGCGTGAGAACCGCTAGCCGGCGCAGAAGCGTTGCGTTGACTCTAATGGAAAATGTCCGGAGCGCTTGCCGCATGACCTCGTTGCACAAACGCAGTGAGACGGTGAATGCACACAGCTCTCCCTGGTAGGGGTCACACTGGGGATGCTGCCTCTTGATTATTATGCGTTCTATGGTCGCCACTCAAAGCAAGCGTGCAAGAACTTCGCTGGGTTGAAGGGAACTTAGCGAACGACAAAAGCAGGAGAGCCCGCGTGTAGTCGGACCCCACGGACACTTGTCGGTTGCGCTCACACGCGGTGAAGCCACCTTTGGAGGAGGAGGTCAGCATGCCCCGATCCAGTACCGCTGCTGGGATTCACACCGTGACAGCAAGCCGGCGTGGTCGTGGGACTCGGGCCAACCTGCTCCTAAAGCCCTCCACAGAGAGCTTGCGAGCGTGAGCATGTGCTGGAGAAAATGCGTCTGGGAAGAGGCGTTTGTGACCAGTCCTGAGAGCAGACGTGCGAATCACGAGGTGCAGCTCCACCGGGTCTCCAGGCCTGAACGCGTGACAGTGGGTGGCTCCAGCGGGGACAGTCTGCACACTCCATTAAAAGGGTGCTTCAAGAAAAAAGTATGTCAACAATAAAAAAGTAATGGAGTTCCCAGACAGAAATCTGTGTTTAAATGACATTAAAGCCGTGGTTTAAATCAACAGAAGCCAGGAAATCCAAAGTCACCCTGTATCCAGACTGTTATTCCATTTTTCCAGGGCTGTGTGTGCCTCTGAGCAGCCCTCCCTCTCCATCCCCTGGCTCTGGCAGCCGAAATTCGTAAGTGGCTTTGGATTGCGGGGCTGGGGTCTGCCTTGATGGCTGCAGCCCAGAGTGCGGCCGCTTGCAAAGGCTTTTATGCGAAGTCACTATAAACCTGGGCATCATGGGCCTGGTACTCCTCCTTTTTTAAAGCCCTGGGTTCTGCATTTTTCCCTGAGTGTGGGTCTGGGCGGGAGGGGAGACACACATCAGGGTCGCTCACCCTGATGGAGTCTGTTCTGACTGCTTATACATCGCAGCTGTAAGTGGGCAGCCTTTTAAAACCTCTCTTTTCCTTCTTCCCACTAGACACGGCGATGACTTGATTGTCACCCCCTTCGCCCAGGTACGTGTAGCACCGGTCCGCTCTTTCCCCTACCCCGGTGTGGTTTCTAAACGTGGCCTCTGAACTTGCATCTGGCCCCTTTTGTCTTAAACTGTCTGAAATATTTTCCTCTTAGGTGCTTGCCAGCTTGCGAAGTGTGAGAAACAACTTCACTCTGCTGACAAACCTTCAAGGAGCATCCAACAAGTAAGCACTGATTTTTGTGGAGTTCACTTCCTTCCCCTAAAGCAAGAAGCACTGAGTGGCCCTGAAAAGGACACAGGATTGCGTGGAAACTTGCCGTCCGGCTCCATTCGGCTCACTGCACAGTGGAATTTGACAGTGAGGCTAAGCCCCGTAGGAACTGGGAGCAGGTTAGAAATTGCTAGGAATTACCTGGTTTGAGTTTTATTGGTTTTTATAACAATACTTAGCACATAATAGATGCGGTAAATAAAATGAGAGGAGGCATTTTTCATATCATATATCTGCCGCTTTGGCAGTAATGATCACAAATGCTGTTAAAAACATTTTTCTGTAAGAAATTCAGAGGCCCCTTTAAAATTAAAAATCCTCAAAAATTCAAGTCCCAAGTTACTATGGATTTTTTTTCTCAGATAACATGTAAACGGGTTCTTGCAGTTTGATGAAAAAGAGTGGAATTATATTCTCTTCTGCCCCAAACTCAATAATGGCCTCGGTCATTTCATCTAACACTGCTGATTCCCAGTCTCCTCACCTGTGAAGTGCGGGATGAACTTGTTCCCTGCACTAACTTTCTCCTCCAAAATCATTTTGGTCTATGAGCCTCATCCAAGTATGATGAAGTTCTCTTTTCTGCATTTTGAAAAGATCATCACAGTCTCTGAGGGTCACAGAACCCATGATCCTGGAATGGTTAGGCTAAAGGAGGCCTCAAAAACCATTCATTGAGCCAGGTGTGGTAGTTCACGCTATGATCCCAGCACTCTGGGAGGCTGAGGCAGGAGAATACCAAGTTCAAGCCAGTCTGGGCAACTTAGCCACTTAGCAAAACCTGGTCTCTAAATAAAAACATTTTGTTTTAATTACTGAGGATGTGGCTCAGTGTGAAGGCCACATACACACACACACACACACACACACACACACACACACACACACACACACTATCATTCATTTAACCTCTTTATTTCACTGGGAGATAAACCCGAGCCCTCTGGAACCCAACAGCTAATGAACAAATATATCACCAGCCAGAGACACCTTGGAGCTGAAGCCTAAATCTCCCGATTTTTCAGCCAGCACTCACTACAGCCTATTCTATCTGTAGTCTTTGTAGAATTACCCTGTTTCACTTTTATCCAGAACTGGATGGATTGAGCTTAAAAACGAGGGTGAAGTTTGCTCTCAGTGCTAACTTCCACTGTCCTGTAACTTGTCTTTAAACCTCCTTGTGAGCTGACTAATTTTTGCACGGCAGTGGGGTCTTTCCCTCTATTTTTTTATTTTTTTGTTTTTTTTTTGGTACCGGGGATAGAACTCGGGTCCTTGCGCCACCGAACCGCTGAGCTAAATCCCCGGCGCCGGGATCTTTCCCATATTGTTCCCTGCTCCTCTAAGTTGTTCTCTAACTCCCGACACAGTAAAGGTAGTGCTGTGTGATTAGCGCCACTCTCCGGCCAAAGGCACTGCAGTGTCCATCAGAGACGTGCAAATCAATACAACGCTGAGATTCCCACTTACTCCGGGAGCACGGCCGGCCGTCATCAAGCAATCCAATAATAACAAATAAAATGCTGGGGAGGCTGCAGCGAAAAGGGAGCCCTTCTGTGTTGTTGGTGGGAATGAAAACTAGAACAACCACTATGGAAATCATTATGGAGATTTAAAAAAACTCAGATTGGAAATTCCGCTTAATCCAGATGTTCCCCTTCTAGGCATCTTTACCAAAGAGTCAAAGGTGTCATATTTCAGGGATCCGTGAACAGCCTCCTTTGTAGCAGCACGACTCACAAAAGCTAAATCTTGGAAGTGGTCTCGGTGTCCATCAGCAGATAAGTGGATAATGAAAAGGCGATGTTTACACCAAGGAGCACTGCTCACTACTCTGCCATAAAGAAGGATAAGCTTGAGTCACCTGTAGGGAGTGTGCACCTTGCCGTACTGCTGAGCGAAATAAAGCAGACATGAGAGCTTCAACATCACGGGGTTTCTCTTCTATGAGAAACCTAAAATACAAATACAGTAAAACACGGATAATAGGAAGTGGGAAGGTCGGCCTTTCTCACAGGGGAAGAGGATGAGAAAGGCATGAAGGCGTGAGCTGTACACGTACTAGCTCCACGCCAGGAAGGCAAACACGACTGCAGGCGTGAACTAATAAAACGTAAAGTTCAGTGCTAGTGTTTGGCCCCCAAGAAACCTGGTGACCCAGGTAGAGTCGGTGTGACTGAGGGTCAGCTGGATTTATTTTAGTGCAGTGTCCAGGTTGAGCACTCCTTATCTGAAAATCCAAAATCTGAGACTCTTTGCTCACCAACGCGATGCTCAGAAATGAAAGTCCCACACCTGACCTGGTGTGACGGTGGTCAAAATGCAGGTGCGCTGAAATGATTGTACAAAACTGCCCGCAGGCAGTGGAATGTAAGATGAGTTCTGTGTTTGGACTTGAGTTTCATCCCTAAGGCACCTCACTGTGTATGTGCAAATGTGCCAACCCTGGGAAAACCCCACACTTCTGATCCGAGGCTTTTGGGACAAGGGCTTCTCAGTCAGTGTATGCAACGTGGAGGTTGTTCCGCCAGCCCCCTTCAGAGCAGAATTCCTGTTTGTTCTTTTATTAACTCGTGTAGCGTGTGTTTATTTAGTACGTGCTGTTCGCTCACACACATGTGTGCATTAGCAGATCTTCTCTGAGCATCTACTCTGCTAAGCCCCGATGATGTCATGGGGCAGACAAGGGCGCTGCCCTTTGGGAGTTTCCATCCCTGCTAATGGGAAGTGGCCGGGATGGAGCAGGGAACAGTGACACCAGGTCTCTGCCTGGTGGGATTAGGTGCGGCAGTTGTGGCCCCATAGTTCTCTCCAAGCTCCCTTCTCCAACCCACCACGGACTTCCTGTTCTCTCTTCCAGAAATGGCTCTTTGCATCTCCCAGTATTGCTTGGCCGGATGCTGCCTATCTTTTGCAATACTATGCTATGATATCATTCTCTAGCATTGCTTTTAGCACGATGCTTTCTCCAGCCTTCCCCGGCCAGGCTGAGTGCCCCTCGTTTGGCCCAAGGGGATCTAAAGACCCTGCCCCTCTGTCCTTAAGGATCAGTGCCCATCTCTGCCCTCCATGGGGGAGATTTATGTTTATTTTTCTTTGAATTCTCAAGAATTACTAGCATGTCTGACACCTAGTTTATGCTCCATAACTATCGGTTGTACATGTGAATTTGCGAAAAAATAATTGTTGGAGAAAATGTCAACTAGGGGAAAAAACCATAGAAGTGACATCGTCCTTACCCCAGCCTCCTCTCTTTATAAATACAGTGTGCGGGTCACACTTACTGGCTTCGTAACTTGCTTCTCCCCTTTAAAAATTATGCACTGGGTCAAACTGCCTTCTCTATATCTTGTCCTAATGTGTAAGTTAGAGTTGTTAAGATGATTAAATGAGTTGAAATTTCTAAAGCCCCTAAAGCAGCATCTAGCACAGTGCTCTTATGAGTGCCTATGACTGACTGAATTTCTCTTGCTGAGGCCCGAAGCAGCATAACGCTCTGGGCTTTCACATCCTCTGCCCTGTGGTGCTCGTGCCACCTGTTACCTCCGCTCTTTACACAGGAGGCAAAGCCAAAACGACTCTCGGACTTGCGGTGACCACAGGACTCCTCCCAGGAAGGGAGGCCTCTCTCTGCAGCGCTCTTGCCGCTCTCTGCACCCGTCAGTCCTCTGGGCTCTGGGAAGAAGGCCCTGGGAGGCTTTGGAACAGAAAGCTTTTTAGGAAGAACTTGGGAAGAGGTGATGGTCAGAGAGCCGGAAGGCAGAGACACTGGTCGAGCCTGTGCGTTCAGGACTGAACACGCCAGGGGACGCCTGGACCAGGACGGAAGTAGGCTGGGGAGGAGGCACGGGTAAGGAAACGGTGAAGGCTTCTAGAGCGTACTCGGACTCAGAACCGCATACTGCACGGCCCCGAACGGGAGGCAGCGTGGCCGTGGCCGTGGGGGTTCTTCCTTTACAGGGGCCTCATCCTGCTGATTAACAAGCTTCCCCGGTTTCAGCTCTTCTCAGGAATCAGGTCCACAGAAGCCTTAGTGGCCCAGGTCATTAACTTTGAGGAACCAAGTGCTTGGGTGCCGTACTTGCCGGGCAGAGCACTGATCCGGAGCCATCCCACAGTGTGGCAGAGAGCCACCCTCAGATCGTGGTCCTTGCATGACCTTTGTTCCTTTGTGTGACCACGGTGGCCAAGCAGAATGGATTTCCAACAGCAAGACTGCTGTATCTATTAATTTTCCCCATATTTGTGCAGAATTGATCCTGGTAGTCATTTCAAGTGCTTCTTTATGACTAAGGCCGAACAGTAGAGAGCGAAGGCGGGACACATGTCCACTGGCGCCTCTCCAGAGGGCATGAAGATGGCTCAGTGTGGCGCAGGCTGAGGCCTCGTACGGGTTTGGGCCGCCGGTGGAGCAGCTTAGAGAACTCAAGGTGTATTCTATCCATTCTGCTCTATTCCTAGAAACCCCAGGCCCTAAAACAACAGAAGAAAATGCAGGGGTGAGGGCCTAAAGATAAGACATTTGTCAGGAGCAGATACCCCACAAACACACACAGCACACGTGCGTGTGAACGCACACAGGGTGACTTACACTGACAAATGCAACTGGAAGATTCATGGAATTCAGAAGCTGCTTTCTGGGATATTTGCCTTGGGTTCCAGGGTGCCACTCCCTGCCTTGACTGTAACACTGAAGCAATAATTATGTCCTTGGAGTGGTTTCCATGAGCCATCTGGTTAATGTGGTTTGTTGTATGAAAAGGAACTCCCACGTAGAACTATACTACTTGTAAGTTAAGGCTTCTTTTATCTTTGGCTCTTTGCTCTGCACAAAAGCTGTCCGTTGTTTGCTGAGCTTTGCCACCCAAAGGGTGAAAATCTCCAATATCCTGTTGAGGTGATTTCTTCACACTTCCCTAAGATGTCCTGTTGAGGGGTGCTTGATTGGGCCTGCCTTTCTTGGCTGCAAATTAAAACCTACATTTCTTTTGTCCCCGGAGTTAAGTTTGAAAATTCAGCTTTTGTTGAGAGCTAATTCAGATAAGCATCCCTGAAGCATTCTCTGGCTTTCAGCGTGTGCCCATGGGCATGGCTGTGGGTTCGGTGAGGGTGGCCATGGGGAGCCAGAGACTGGAGCAGAAGCAAAGCACCCTGCTTTGTCAGCCACCTCTGCCACTGCCCCGCAGATGCCATCCGTGGCCGTCAGGAAATCGTGTCGTATCTCTGAGGTAACATTCTCCCAAGGCGTTATTTTCTTAAAATGGATGTCATCCTTAGGAAAGAATTAATAACCGCTGAAGCTTTTTAGTGTATAGTCGAAATGTCTTTCCTTGCTTTCTGTACTCTGGCCTGGGATTTAAATTAGCTGAGAATCATAAATGCTTGAGCATTCGGAACTGGGAAAATCCTAGCCAAATTTCTTCAGAGTAAATGAAGAAATAGATGGAAAACCCCTCACCCAGGACCCAGCACACTGTAAATCAGTAGTGAATGTTCGTGGCCGCCTCCTCTCCCCTTGTGAGGAAGAAAATAAAACGTTGGGTGAGTTGCTGAGTGTAAGACGCCTGCCTCAGGCGTTGGATTCCTGTCTTCTTGTTCAGAGTTCCTGACTTTCCCCTTGGAGCTTCTCTGGGCTGGGAATAGTCATCACCGCAGCCACCCTGCTCTCCTGTCACCACTTCCACCAGCCGGGCACGTAACCTGTCCCGATTCTTCCGTCCCTTAGGGCCACTGGCAATCAGACAAGCAGATTCACTTTCTCTCGCACACCGCACAGTTTGGTAGCTGGTGCTGTCAGGCTCCCGAGCAGGGCCGTGGCTTCTGGAGGTCGTTCGCCCGTCTCAGCTGTATTGAAGCTCTTTTTGGCAGTAGGTGTCAAGAATAAGCAATGAACCAAATAAACACAGCTCCTGCCTTTCCGACGCTTCTGCACAGAGATGCGTATGTGAATTGGGAACTCTAAATAAAAACCATATTTTCAAAAGCAATCTCTGGGACAAAGGAGTTTGTGTCATATGTGTGACTCCTAGGTGGTCACTGCGAGAACAGTGTTCAGAGGAGCCACACCCGGAGAAAATGGAGATCTGAAACACTCAAGACCTCCTAGATCTGTGTCCTTTCATAAAAGTCCTCTTCGGAATTCAGGCAGAGACACAAAGCAAAAGTATCAGGATGTGCTATGAATCCAGGGGGCCTTTATTGGATGCTTGCACTGCCCCAAGTATTACACTGGCTCCAGCAGTGCAGCCGTGAATTCAGCACAGAGTCGGCTTAGCTTTCTCAGGGTGTGTTGCAGGGACTGAGGGGAAGATGGGAGTTGCAGTGGTGAGGTGGAGGGGTAGGATTGGGTGTGATATGCGGCAACGCACAGGAGCAGGCCCCTCACAGGAGAGAAGGTCACCCGGGAGGTGCTGGGAAATGCGAGCGAGTTGGCGACTTAAGGGGAGATCTCTGCAAAGTGTACACAAAGGCACGGCCACTGGGGAGCTCAGAGAGCAGCACCTGAGCCATCGCTGAGGAAGCCGGCAAAGCGGTCGCGCCGAGTGCCCGGCTCCTCTGGTACTTTCGCGTCCGTGCTGCGTGGGGTCGGTGGTCCCCAGCATGCCCGGATGCGCACTGTTCACCTGCAAGTGGGTGGGTCTTGCATAGGAAATAGGGAAAAGGGTCAGAGCTACATCCTGTTGTCCACAGGTCCCGGATTAGGGGTGCAGGCGTTAGGACCTCTGTACTTTTAACCTGAGGAAATGACCCCAGAGGCACAGATAAAACACCACAGCAGGCCAGAGGAAGGACCATTCTCAGCTAAGAGGGTGATGGCGTGGGGAGAACATACTTAGCCTTTGAAGGCTGACGGTCATATTTAGTGTGGGCAGAGCTTCCTTGCCCAACAGAGGAACAGGCTGAGCAGTGGAAGGAAAGGGCCAGCACATGTCCAAGAAAGGAAGTGACCCCATCTGGCCGCCGCAGCGTATAGTCAGTTTTTCACCCACCCATCCATCTCTCCATCCGTCTGTCCACCCATTCACTCACTTACTTCTTTCTTCCACTCCATAACTATTACCCAGTACTTGGCAGATAAAAGGACATCCTTGGTGCCACTGTGGGGCCCGGTAGTAAACAATCATTTGCTTCCTATGCAGAATTTACCTGTAAATTCTAAGGAGGCTTCTATTGCACACTATTTAGACAGTGCCTGTTTTCATCCCAATCTGAAATTTCTATCAAGGAGAAGCACAAGATTCATGAGAGCACATAGCCACTCGGTGCTTAGACGCAAGACGAGATGGGAAGAGGTCTGAGAGAGGAACTAGAGGAGCGTGTTGGGGCCAGAGAGCAAAGTACTTTGGCAGATCAAAGAGCTTGGAATTTAATCTCGATGTTCCTGGAGCACAGCCCTCAGTTTGGGTCCAGGCCGTAGCAGCTGTGTAGCTGGAGGAGCTTGCCCCGTGGAGTCAGGTCTTGGCTTTAGAAACCAGGTGCGTCTGGTGTGCCCCTCAGTTCTCTGAGCTTCACAGCCCCTGGCCCTGAAACACTCCTGGTTCCTAGCACCGCCCTTGCTAGAGGAAAGTGATCCCTGGACGCTCGCTTCCCTTCTCCTGTCACAGGGGCCCTGGTACCACGGATGGTGCCTAGGGTCACCCAGGTAATAAATCAGCAGTGATGCCAGGCCCGTCCAGAAACTCGGCAGCCACAGAGTAAGGTAGCACAGTAGCTGGATTGTGCCTACGGGACCAGAGGGCTGTGGAGCCCTTGAAGACCCAGCCCCAGACTCTGCTTCTTTCTCAGCCTCGCCTGTGCATGGGAGTGAACGGAGGAGTGAAACATGTAGATCCCCAGGTCCAAAGTGGCCTCTCCCAGGAAGGGCAGGGGAACTCACTGACCGCCCTCATGAGTCTGGTGCCCCTCCACGCTTGAGAACCAGCGGCTTCAGCCCACCGGCTCACTCACTTTCCAGCCCCACTCCCCTCGGTGGGCCAGAGTCATCCTCGGTCCCAGAGGATTTGCGGCGCCTGGAAACTCATTGGGAGAGCAACTGCCGTGCTAGCCCTGGCCGGCTGAGTCAGGGGTCCAGAGGTGGGGACCAGGGGAGCGCGGTCGGCGGCCTCCAGGTCACATCCATGTGTCCCGAAGCTAGAGAGCCCCATCCTCGTCCAGATCTTCTCCAGCAGTGTGCTAGGAGTCTAGCAGAGGAAGCTGTGCAGAGTGTGAGGAGAGTGAAACCAGCAAAACTGGGGGACAGGTGTAGAGAAAGAAACCAGAAAGAAAAGGAGAAGGAGCCCCAGAGGGAGTAGAACCGGGTTTGTTCGCTTGTTTCATTTGACCCTAGAGGTGGCAGGCTTGCTGCAGTAACAGTGCCCTATTTCCTCCGTACAGACTTTCCTACATGAAGAACGCTGGGTTCCTTTTCCTAGGGCTCTGTGTGACCTTTGCCAAATGATTTTGTCTCCCTGGGTCTCAGTTTTAGGAGATGCAAACATGGGGGCTTGAACTGCCTGGTTTCCCAGCGTTCTTCTGGCCGGGGTGTTCCAAGGAACTGGAGTCCAGTCTGCCTTTTGGGGTTCAGAATAAGCAAATGTCCTCTCCTTTAAGACTCCTGGGACAGCAAGACATACAGCAGAGGGGCTGGCCAGACCTGGAGTAAACAGCCTCCTTCCTGGAGAGTCGGAGCACCCTGAGTCTGGGAGGAGGGAAGCTACAGGCCATCTGGACTGAAAGAAAGGCAGCCTTCTCCCTGCGCGTTACAGGCCCCGCTTCCGGAGCAGCATCATGCCACCGCACCGCTCGCTGACCTGGAAGGCTCTGCGGTGTTGCAGGGGGTGGGGGATGGATGCACGAACTCAGTCCCTCTCTTCTGCTTCTCCACAGGAGGTCCCCAGCGACCAGCCAGCCTCCCGTGTCCAGAGCCAACCTGCAAGGTAGGCCACGTCACCTGAGATCTACCTCCATGTTTCAGAATAATGGTGCTTCTGATTCAGGACTGTCTCTGGAACAGCAGGTTCTGTGTGCATACCATGACTCCCAGAACTACATCTCTTGGCAGACTTTTCCAATGGTGCAGCAGAGTTGCCCGTTGCTTAGCGTGAGGCCAAATGCAAAACGATGCTTTGTCCATCCTGTGGCCATGCTTGCAGGATGGGATGAAGGTCTGATGCTCCTCTCTCCCCATAGAGTAGCAGGAGCAGGGCTGTGTGGAGCTGCAGCTTGTGGCTTGACCTCAGCCTCTGGCCCCAAAGACCCCAGGTGCCCACGCCAGCCTGAGGACCCCAAGGGTAGGCTGGTGGTTTCCCTCTTTCCCTTCCGTCTACCATAGATCCCACTTGACTCTACCTCCTTTCCAAGTGTGAATCCGAAGGTTCTTTCTGGGTCGCAGTCTTTCCCTGGGAGGTCATCCAACTTTGATCTTCCAGCCTCTCACCTCTCAGAACTCTGCAGCCACCTTTGATGTAGTGTTGAGCACTGCTGAAGGGAAGGGCCCCCTTCAGGAGACACCATGGAGAAGTGCTGGGCATAAATTCTTCTTTGACATGAAATGCGAACAGTTAAATGACCTTTCTTAAAGTCCAAATGGAGTTTTGTCCCTTGAACCCGCCCCAGCATTGTAGCAGTGAATTTCGGCAAAACAATAGGAGAAACAGTTAAGGTAGACTCATAGCAAGACCTCCTAACATCCACCATGCCTCGGAAGCTTTTCTATTCCAGTGTTACTCTTCCCTTCACTTTGTACTTAGGGTCCCCCAGGGGCAATGTGATCACCCGCTAGGATTATGACCTTAAGTATCACGGAGTTATTTATAAAAGCCCAGCTTCTATCATAACAGAACAAAGGCAGCAGACGCACTTGGCTCACTGACTTCTGAAGTATTCATGGTATATGCTTTAAAAAATATTTTTATAAGATTGACAGCAAGAATAAAAGTGAAAGGAAGACATTAAGTAAAGGTGAGTTTACTCTAGAGCCCTATAGTGTGAAATAAAAAGAAGTAACAGTAGTCTGCCTAGGGACTTCAAACACCTGGTGGCTGGATGTAGTATTTCCTTTAGAAGTTTTATAAAAAGAAACAAAATAGAGTGTACTAACATATAACTGGCATTAGGTACGTGGAGATCAAAAAAGCTGGTTTTGAAGCTTCTTCATTTCATCTTACTGGTCTACCAGTGAGCCCTGTCACCTGGACCTCCATTTACCAAACTTACTAAAGGTGTTTTTGAATATGTAGACTGCTCTCTTTCCTTGGAGTACACACTGACAAATGCTAGGAGAACATGTGATGATTATGGCTCCATAAATGAGCTCAGGAGTTGAAGAAGCTGAGCTAAAGATCGTTCTGTGATTATTGGCACAATAGCTACAGCTTGGCAACTAGAGTCTTCTGCTAAATTCTTTAAAACAATAGAGCAAAGAAATGACAATACCACTTAGGCAATTTGTTTTCGTCCGACTTTGTGGCAAACTACAAAAATCCTGGCTTTTCACTGGGAGGAGAATGTAGTGATACCATTTATTACGTAATTATGAGTTTCAAGCTCTTCTTAACATTTAACCACAGTCAGAAAAGGAAGGAGGGGACACATCCCGTGTTTTGTTCTTATTATCAGCTTAAATAAGCTAGGCAGATTTTTCCTGTTATTTTAATATTTATCGGCATATGACAGAGAGGTGTGTTTAAATAGCAACTTGAAAGAGCGATGAGAAATAAATGGCTCAGAACAACCAGATAGAGAACCGGAGTGCGGGTTTAAAATATGATATTTTGTGATAATTAGGTCAGGTTTTCAGTTATCAGTGCTGGATTGAACTCATGTATTTCAGTTAAAAGCTAATACGAAAGGCACAAGAAACCCATGATAATTTAAACAGGCTCTGCAAAAATGTAGTTTATTAGCAAAGCCTGACTTGCTTAGATACCTGTGTTCTTATATGGAAGCAAATTTTACAAAGCCACTTTTCCTCCTCCTCCTCCTTCTCTTCCTCCTCTTTCTCCTTGTCTTTCTTCTCCTCCTCCTCCAAATAAAAGAAGTCCAACTCATCGTAAAACGAACTGTTAGAAGCCGAAGGTAAATTGGTACTTTCACAAATCGATTGTTAACAGAAGTATTCAGAGGGGAAATCTCAACCTGAAACACCCTCCTTCCCCTGTCAAACCACAGTAATTTCTGGCTCTCCCGGCTCAACACAGATTCACCTCCCCTGAACAGGCATCTTAATATCTTTAATTGGGCGTAAGTGCTCCTTCTTGTGCGTGTAACCATCTAACTCTGGGCTTCTGGCAGCAGGCCTCCTCCCCAGAAGCATGCGCTTTGGAAGGCAGGGGCCGCCCCGTATTCACATAGTAGGAACTCAGCAAAAGGTGGAATTGGCCAGAACTCCGGAAACTTGGGGACTTTCTCTAAGCGAAAGGGCTCATGAACGTAAACTGAAAAAGGCACAAATGCCCACTGGTGAATGTCATCAAATTCTATACCTAAAATATACCTATAAAATTAATGAATAAAAACATTTAAACTTAGTAGTCAGCTAATAGGGTTATCGCTATGGCTATGAAATGTATTCAGTTGTTTTTCTCTTACTATATACTAAAATCAGTTGTTGCACTGAAATCAAAAGAGGTTTGAAGTCCATTCAGCTGCTCGTACCTGTGTGTTCGTATAGGAGCCAGTGCCTTGCAGCGCTAGGCAACCCTCTACCAATAAGGTGCAGTTAAAGTACATTTTATTTCACTTTTATTTAGAAACAGGGGCCTGCCAAGTTGCCCAGGCTGCCCTCAAACTTGAGATCCTCCTGCCTCAGCCTCCCAAATATCTGGGATGACATACGAGCTTCTCCATGCCAGGCTTAGGTTTTGAGTAAAAAAGAGTTAAATATAAGAAGTTGGCATTTTGTTTTTCCTCTTGAGCAGAAAAGTAATTTTAAACCTGGAAAGAAGAACCCAGTGACAGTAAATCTTCCTGGGGAATTGTAAATGCCAAAGCTGCAGGTTGATGGGGATCTCATTTGTGTCACAGTTTGCTCTTTCGAAAGCCTGAATTCCAGGCTTTTTCTAATGGTGCTCAGGCTTGATGCAGAAAGAAAGGGGAAAAAAAGAATTAAAAAAAAGAAAACCACAAGACAGGCACGTGGAGCCCATCATCTACGCATATTCAAGATGGAATCTGAAATAATGCTCAGGGTTTCAGACCCCAAAACCACTTTTAACAGAAAAGAGAATGGACTATTTGCAAATACCCAATGTGCACGCCTGGTGTGTGCAAGGAGTCCCTGCTTTCCCACCCTGCCTACCCCGTCCTTTCACATTTCTGCAGCTCCTTGGTGATCACAGGTGCACACTTTACAGGAAAATTTACTGAGAAGACAAAGCACCAAGTGGTGTCTGTCTTTACAAAGTGACTGCCTTGCAAAAAGATAAGAGAATCATTGCCTCTGATGGCCAGCACCTCCGAGTCATAGAAAAGTGGTTTGATTTACAATAATAAAGTACCTCATATACGTGGTATTTCACAGCCAACTTGTTATGTAAGGTGGGAATGTTCTATACTAAGATTTTTGTTCCAAAATTGATCTGTAAACCTACAGAGCAGGACAGTCACCAGATATTATTAAAAATAAGCTGGATGTCTATGGGTCATCAGAAGTGACGGGCAGCGGTGTCTCTGAGAGGACTATGAAAAATGCCCCTGCACAGCCTGCCTCAGGCTGGGTGTCCACCGCCCCCTTGGTTTACAGCGGTTTTCAACATCAGTCACTCGGAACGCACTTCATGAGGAGAGTGTGTTTGGAGAGACAGGATGAGGCGCACAGGGGTTCCAGTCGAGCCTGAGACTGTTTGCCTAAGTGAGAAGCAGACTTAAGGTTCTTCCAGTGCTGCAGGGAAACCATCCCTTCTCATACGTATCTAGGCCAGACTGGAGCAGGAAACGACCCTTCACCAGTTGATAAAACTGCAAGAAAAGACTTTCTCCTAGGAGGCCTGTTCCTCCATGCAGGTTCTTACCATAGTTTGGCAGGACTGTGACTGTTTCTGACGGTTCAGGGCAATGCAGCAGACAGACTCTGCTCAAGAGATGCACACAGAGCTCGGTGAGTTGGCTTTGACCCTGAACAACTCAGACAGCCAAGGCACCGTCCAGGTCTCATTCTTCACCAGAGCTTCCGGCCCTGGGCGTGGGTGTGGGGCTCCTGGCGACGGGGATGGTCCAGAGCTGATCTGTGTCACAGGCGGAAACGGAGGCAACACAAGTAGCTCCTCCTTGGCGCCTGCGTTAGGCAAGAACGGTCAGGCGGGATTACAACACTTATGGGCAAATAAATAAATAAATAAAGTCAGTCTAGTTACCAAAGGCTGTGACCAGGGCTGGAGAGCATTTAAAAAGAAAAAGAATGTAAGAAAAATAGAAATAACAGACTCCTTTCTTCTGTGTTTTGAATGCTGTGTGACCTAAATTATCGGGATAATCAGTCTAATTACCACCTCGAGTGTCCAGGCAGCAGCATACGACTGATAAGAAAAATGCCACCGGGGAAAAGCCCCAGCAATACTGAGAATAAGTCCCCAAATGATTGTTTTGTAAGAATTAATTTTGTCTACAGTAGCCCTCTTGTGAACCAAAGTGTGCCCCAGAGCATCAACACGGACTTATTTATATTGATTTGCAATTATTTCATATATGTCTGAATTTGGGTAATGGGGTAGTTGCAAAAATATCACCAAGACAGCTAAAGTATGAACAGTTAAAATGTTACCCTGCAGGAAACTGCCAGAAGAAACAACCCACTCACAAGTGGCTAGTTGTACTAGTTCTAAATTAATGCTAAATTTAGGGTGACTGTTTCTTCCTATTAAACGGGACTGATGAGAACGGCCAGCATCTGCTCTCTCAGGAGTTGCCTCAATAGTTGAGTTCATTCCGAATGGGTTCC